GAGCACGTGTCGGATGGAGGCCCAAAGCTCGTGAGGCACCCAGACCTCCGGGCACTGGGCCTTGGTGACTGCAGCCAGATCTGGGGACACGGGTGTGAGTCTGAGCCTGGAGCACAGGAAGCGATGCCCTCGCTTCCTGGAGAGCAGCCTCCTCACTCGGTGCCAAGTCTGCTCGGGGCTGGAGGGCGGGGGAGTGCCTTGGGATGCACAGAGTCTTCTGGAGCGTGGGGACAGAGGTCTGGGACGCACAGAGTCTTCTGGAGCATGGGGACAGAGGTCTGGGACGCACAGAGCTTCCTGGGGCGTGGGGACAGAGGTCTGGGACGCACAGAGCCTCCCGGGGCGTGGGGACAGCGGGATGGAGAGCGTCCTGGGGCGTGGGGACAGAGGTCTGGGGTACACAGAGTGTCCTGGGGCGTGGGGACAGAGGTCTGGGGTACACAGAGCGTCCTGGGGCGTGGGGACAGAGGTCTGGGACGCACAGAGCCTCCTGGGGCGTGGGGACAGAGGTCTGGGACGCACAGAGCTTCCTGGGGCGTGGGGACAGAGGTCTGGGGTGCAGGGTCCCCTCCGGGCCTGCAGGAAAGGATGCAGGAGGGCGTCACAGGTGGGCGTGGAGGCTGGCCGGGCCTTGGGGGTGCAGACCCCACCTGCTGCCCTACTGAGTGCGGCGCCCGTGTCACTGTGCACGGTGGGCCTGGGGGTGGCCCAGCTGCGGTGGCTTTCCTGGGGCTCGGTGGCGTGACGTCCAGGGCCGCGTGTCTGTGTGGCAGGCGTCACTGGGGCCTAGGTCCTCCGAGCATCTCCAGGGTTGGGGTGTAGATAACAACACTCGACTCACAACAAGGACCCGACACGTAACTGCGGCCAGACCAGTCCCTCGGAGCCACCAACGTCGCCCACGGTGGGAGCTGGTAACGGGCGCCGTCCGCCTCTGGCTGTCCCTGAGCATAGCCACCGGCCGACGTGACGCCGGCAGCGTGTAGTTCACGGCGAGAACGCGGGGGCCGTGGCCTTGGCGTGTGGCTTCGACGTCGCCACGTCCTGCTCATCGAGCTCAGGCGGGAACAGACGCCACGCGTGTGCGTGCGCTCGGCGCTTAGCGACGCTGCGTCCGTCCTTCGGTGGCCGCGTGGTGGTGTCGGTCCCAGCGCCAGGGACCGCAGTGGGCCAGGCGGTCGGGTTCGCCTTGTCAGGACCGAAAGCTCCGGGCCGCTGTCCTCGCGTCCCGCGGGGCGGGAAGGTCTGCGGTGCTGTCGTAACGGCCTCGGGCGCGGCCACCGCCTCCTGAGACGCCCCGTCCCCTGGGCTGACACTTCCCGCCCTGCGAATCCCGAGCAGGAGGTGCCACCAGCGCCTGACTCCGGCCAGCGAGTCCCGCCTGACGCTGAGCGCGCTCGGTGCCCGAATCCCGCCTCGCCCCCCACCTGCAGACTGGGGGCGTCACCCCACGTCCCGGGGGCGCGGCGAGGGTGGGGGGTCAACGCCGGGCGCCGAGCGTGTGCCCAACACGCAGCGGGCGCTTCAGAAGCAGTGGCCGTGAGGGACACAGCCACAGGCTGGGGAGGGGCTCTGCTCAGCATCAAACGTGGCCGTAGGAACAGCTGTTGCTCCTCTGTCTGCTCCCACACTGCCCGTCACAAGCACGTCCCCCTGCGGGACCACGGGGAGCCCGACCCGAGGCTGTGGGGACAGCGGGGCTTGCCCCAGACTGGCCGGGACGCATGTCACTCTGCGCTCGCGGCCCACGATGCTGGAAGCGCGAGTTAGCACGTCCTGGGCAACTGGACCCGACTTCTCCGGTGCCCGTGTCCCCAGCCTTCCCCTCTCTCCGCAAACCAGTCACCGGCTGCACAAGCGGCAGCCTCGGAGGGCCGCACACGCAGCCCCGCGCGACGTCCAAAGCTCCGTCTCCCGAGCCGAAGCACCGGTCAGCGGACTCACCGGCTGCGCAACCTCAGGTAGGAGCTTCGCACAGTACGAACGCGGGCGGACGCGTCCTCGGTCACTGCAGCCGGACACCCCGCAACCCCACTGTCCACCCAGTGGGTGAGACCGCGTCACTGGGCTCCGCCGCCTCCTCGCCCAGAGCAGTGGGGAGGCCAGGCCACCGTGCGAGGCGGGGACGGACAGGTCGCACTCCCGCCCCGTTGCCCGCGGAGCCACACGCAGGACGGGCTCGTGGCCGAGCGGCCACCAGCCCCTCCCCCACGGCCCCGTCTGCAAAGTCGTGCGGGGGTCACGGCCCACGGGCTCCGCCGCCTCCTCGCCCAGAGCAGCGGGGAGGCCAGGCCACCGTGCGAGGCGGGGACAGACAGGTCGCACTCCCGCCCCGTTGCCCGCGGAGCCACACGCAGGACGGGCTCGTGGCCGAGCGGCCACCAGCCCCTCCCCCCCC